ACGAGGACAAAGCAAAGAGGAACTGAGGAGAGAGGACTTTTAAAGGAGACTGAGACAGAGAGGGGGCTAATGAGGAAACTGGGAGCAGGTGTGCACAGAACAAGAGAGGGAAAGAGCTAGGGAAAAAGGAGAACACAAGAGGGCAGCAGAGAGCAACAAATAGAAGACTGGAAATAACAACAAAATGATAATCAAACAACTAGGACTATAAAACATGGAAAAAAGAAAACTAAACACTAGAAAACAAAGGAGTAAAGTAAGACTGAATACTCAAAAGAAAAATATAACAGAAACCTGACAAAAAATTCCTTCCAGGAACTTAAAGACTTTAGAAACGTTTTTGTTTCTTTTAAAGCATAAAAATTAAAAACTGCAAAACAAACTTTCAGAGCTTTCTTTGTTGTTTCCACGCTGTCAGCTTTCTTAACCATAAACATGTTTCAGTGCAGTTTCCTCAATCCTTAATGTTCTTTGTTAGGTCTTGTAGGAACTATAATGAGCTGCCTGCTCTTGTTATAACCAGGATAAAATCTGCAGATTGATCAGAAGCCTGGAAGTTTCATTTACTGATGGAAGCAGGATCATTGTGGGAGAAGAGGCTACATGTGACATTTAACACAAATCCATAAAATATTCAACTTATATTTCTCTGCTTTGAAAAAACATATTATCCTGTCCAAAATGAAGGTAAAAAAAAAATAAAAAAAATTCAGCCTTCTTTTTAAAAGAAAATGATGCCCTAAAAAGATGCGAACTCAGAAATTACAAAGATGTGAACTTAAAAAAAAAACACAAAAAAGGACTGCAACAGGAAAAGCTGCAAAGGAAGAATGTTGCAAAGGAAAATACTGCAATCACAAGAAAAAGAAAGAGACAAAATGAAAAATAGTTCAAGTACCAAAAACAAAAAAAAGCTGCAAACTTTTTCTCAAAGAGGAAGCCCTGACCTCTGCATGGCTGAAGGAATCAATCAGCCTAATCAATCCTAATCTGTAACCGTGGCTGGGTCAATATGTTGGACCTAATGGGTAGAGACGGCCTCCTCCATCAATCCATCCGCTGATTGAATCAGATCAGAAACCAGAGGAATCCCAGAACGCCCAGGTTGGTATCCATGGAGACCATGAGGAACAACCATGGCCAACAGCAGAGCTGCAGGGACTCAGCAGCTGGAAGGCCTTTAAACATGAAAACAGGATGGATCTGATTAGAAAGGAGGAGGCAGCAGGAGGTGCTCAGATGTTCCTGCTAGAGAGGAGATCCGCTCACCTCCTGCTTCTCCTCTCTGACCTTTCAATGTGTTCCAGTCCTCAGAGGAGGAACAAGAAGCTGCAGCTTCCAGCCTGAATACAGGACCTCAGGGAGGAGCATGGAGGGAGCAGCTGCTTCACCTCCTGCAGGAGCAGATGGAGGAGGAGGAACATGGAGGGAGCAGCTGCTTCACCTCCTGCAGGAGCAGATGGAGGAGGAGGAACATGGAGGGAGCAGCTGCTTCACCTCCTGCAGG